TCGATCGCTAAATCGAGAGCTTTGCCCCCCGATTCAGCTCAACACGACAGTCCCACATTCTGATTAAATGAATGGCAGTAATTTCTCCTTATAGGGTGGGTGAATTTCACAAAGGGTGGAATAAGTACAGAATAGTACTGAAGGACTAGCTGTATTTAAAAAAAAAGGAATGGCATACTTATGTTGACCATTTTTTGAACCAAAGTATAGATCTAAACTGAACATTTTTGTAATGTTAAGATGAACTGAAAATCAAATGAACTAGGCAGGTCTAAAAAAACGTATTGCTTAGATTTAAAAATGGCTTTAATTTTTTTCTTTTTGTCATTTAGCTTTGCTTTAAAGACGGATAAAAGGCAGAGTGACATCGGTAAAAATGGCAGAAAACTGGCAGGCAGTTCTCTATATATATAAACAGAGAAGGACAAATGATGCTGATCACAAAGATAAAAGTCTCTGCCGTTTAAAGAGAAAATTATATGACTTCATATATCATAGAGAAGCATGGAGTCTACGTCGTATCAAACACTATGTTTTATAATCTGTTCAGCCGGACATCCCTGCAACTCATCATTAGAAAACATTTCCGTTTCCTTGATTTGTAGAGAAGCAGACACTTTGAGGAATAAATGAGTGGAAATGGGGGACATGCTATACCAGATTGTGTTCAGGGGAAAACCAAAGGACAGCTGGAGAAAGGAGATACACTGCAGCTCTGTAGTCTTTGGAAGGTTAAATAAGCACAAAGCTGTGTCTCTACCGATAGTACTCCTTTGTTGCTGCTGTTGTGGTAGCTGTTATTTTGTGCCTTTGTGCCTCTTTGGAGCACTTGACCATTATGTTCAGTTACATCCAAAGTCTTTTGTTGTTACCTGGGGCCTGATTTCTGTATATCTGCCCCTCTTCCTCTATTCCTTTTTCTTATGAGCCATCTATCTTTCTCTTGGAGTCCCTGCTGATATCCTGAGGGTGGGCCGCACAAAGTTAGACTTTCACCACACAATGAGGTCCGTGTATGTTGCCTTCAAGTGTTCGGGTTGGAAAAACACTTACAGGAAAACCATCTAAAGCAAACTCCTCCGGGCTGAAGGGAGGCTGTATAACTGACTGTGTCGGTGCACATGTCATTTACATAGAAACACAGTCATAGACACTGAGACTGTGATACATTGCTGAAGCTATTTTATTTTTTTTTTAAAGCTGCAGCCTGTGGCATTTGGTGTAGTAGGGGGTAATAGATCACTTCCTGTTTCACTGTCACAAACTATGGATCTGTTTGGAGTTTTTTTAGACAGATTTGGACAACATTTATTGTCATTTTGTATACACATTTTGTTTTGTACAGCTCTCATGACATTTCCATTTCAAGTGCAGCAGTGATTGAATGTAAACAAGTATGGGAGGAAAAACATGGTGCAAAAAAATGCATTAATATGGAAGTTCAGAGCATTAAATATATATGATGCAAATATGCAGTGTTTTTGGTTTGTTGTTGTCAATGTGATGCAGAGTCTGTGACATGATTTACAGTTTTTTCAACAGTTCAGCTGTATGATGGCGATGGGGAAGAAACCGTTTCGGAATCTGCTGGACCTGCATCGGATGTTACGAATTCTGACATTTTTCTCAGAATTCTGACAGCTAACAAACATGTTAGCATAAAGCCGTAGCCATGTATGTATTAGAGACTAGCTCTCTTGTTTTAATCACTTTCTGCTCTTCCATTAATGAAATAGCGTCACCGGCGACCCCTCGGCACATAAAATGTTGAATAATTGCGTCATTTTCCACCAGTGTGTCACTGGCCCTTCCAAACAACTCACATCTTTGTCAGTGAAGCTGAGTGCTCCCACATCTCTCCTTTCATGATGCCCATCTACATTAAGATCCACAATTCTGAGATTAAAGTTAGAATTCTGAGATTAAAGTCAGAATTCTGAGAGAAAAGTCAGAATTCTGAGATTAAAATCTGAATTAGAAAATAGTCAGAATTCTGAGATTAAAGTCAGAATTCTGAAAAAATAGTCAGAATTCTCAGATTAAAGTCAGAATTCTCAGATTAAAGTCAGAATTTTTAACTTTTTTCGATATTAAACTGAAATAAAATTTAAAAATCTGTCAATTTTTTTTTTTTTTCAGTGTCCCTAATAATCTTCCTTACTTTTAAAAGTAGTGTATGTTGGGATCTGGAGGCTTGTCACCTTTCTCTACCAGAGGGAGCCTGAGATCTTCCTCCTGAGGGCGTGAGCTGACTTCTGCACACCTGTTTTCCATCTGCTCGTCTGGAGGCCTTCTTAAGGAGGAGCAGGACACTTCCCTGCCAGAGTGTTTGCCAGTAATGGTACCAGCAAACCTGAGCCAGCTAACTCTGATCTGTTTTCCTGATTTTTTGAGAACCTCTCTGACTCTGTGTTCTTCTGCCTCTCAGAACCTGACATATCCGGTAATCTGTCAACTCCTGGAGAAAATCCTCGTTGCCTGGAACCTGCCTGTCTGCCCTCCGCCTCAACCTCCGTCTCCGCCCTCAGCCCTTGCCTGCCGATCAGCCTCTGGGCCCTCAAGGTGGGGGGACCTGACCGGCAGGGGGGGGGCCCTGCCGGTCAGAATACCCCCCCTGAGCAGGTATTAACCCAAACCTCCGTTAAGCAGCAAGTTTCCTGGATCCACTCTAACCAATCTGTCCTCCTCTAGTTGCTTCCCTCCCGTGACCAGCCTGACGAACCAAGACCCCGTTCACATTTCTCAGAAAACATTGTCAATAAACCTTTTAACCTTTTTCCCTGTCTCTGGAGTGTTTCTGCATGTGGGTTAGAAGATTAATGTTGAATAATGCTCAACATGTTTTACTTGTACTTATGTAATATTGTCCTTAATTAACAACACTCTTACAGTACATAGATACTGTACTGTAATCTGCATTTATTATCTCAAATAATTTTTGTAATTTTTTTTTTATGCGTTACTTGGTGTACGGGGTTGGGGCGCTAGGTGGGTAATTAGCCCGAGGCAACAATTGGGCTAGGACCACCCCTGGCCAAGTGTATGAATGCACACAATGCAGGCTCCCTTTTTTCCACTGCTAGGTGCACCTTTTTGATCAGGCTAACACAAAAGGAAGAAGCCTTATACATGTGCAGCTCGTAGCATTTTTCTGAAAAATGTGCATCATTATGTCCATAGTGATTAGTGTTTTTGGCATTCAACACCATAAGAGTCAAACATCTTGGGCCATGGTGGTTAGACTAAACAGGGCTGCTGGGGGTCCCTTGTTTTCATTTTTGAGAGGTGGCAACCCTTAAAGTGGAGAAAAAACCTGCAGAAGTTGCAGACAGTGTTAATCAGCTTGGCAACTGGAAATTCCTACCATTTCCTTTCCTTTTACACTTTCTATCACACTGAAGATTCTTTCCACACCATTAATACTTTCTGCTGAGTTGTTCATCCAGGCCCTTAGTTGCACTAATCCACTACAGCCATGTTATGCACCATCTGCCAAAAACACAACTACCTAGACTTAATGTGGTCACATCAGCAGATTAGAGCAGCTAAATGATGTGGGTAGTGCTGTATTACATGGTTTTATAGCAAATGTGGGAATGCTCAGATCAGGACAATTCACCTCTGAACAAACTATCACAAGACAAGGAATGTGAGGCAATCAAAACGGGATGAAATTCCTAAAATTAGATTATATGGAACAGTTGTATTGTAGACTCCTTTTAACTAAACACCTGTATATCATTTATAATAAATTCCTGTCAATGTGGGAACGAGTGTGGTGCAGATGTAGTCAACGTTGCTTCTGCTTCTATCTGCAATGAAAGTGTCCTTAGTTACCAAAAATATAAAGATTTAAAAGCAACCTAATCCAATGTTTAAAATATATAGAAAACTAAGTTAATTAATTCAAAAGTTGTAAATTTTTGCATATAAAAAATGCATTTGTGCTCCTGCTAATGTGTAGAAAACACATACAGTAGAAAAGTACATATTTAGACAATTTGATGAAATGTTTTATTTATACTTGCAGGATGTCACTTGATGTTAAACTCCTTATCCTTAGCTCAGGACTGACTCTGAGGGATGCTCATGTTACCAACCTGCTGCTAATCAAACTAAACACTGCATAGTGAAATGTTACACCAGACTTTGTTTCGGCATTACCTACATCTCTCTTCTCCCCTAAAAGTAGTAACAAAAATTAAAGGCAAAAAAAATTGGCCTAAATGGTTTCCTGGAAGTTAAGCTTAATTTCTAAGGATTTCAAATCATTTAAAGCTCCCTAAAATCTTTCTTGCCATTTTTTTTTTGCTGTAAATACAAACTTAATTGAATTATATAGACTGGATAAGTAAAATTAAATCATCTACTTCATACGATTTAAGAGTTTCAATTACGACATGTAACAAATGTGCAAACAAATATCAGCAAATTTCATTACAGAAAATACATAAAGTGTAATTGAGAATCAATGCACTTATCAGTCCTGCATCAATAGCAATAAGCAGCCCTTGTCTAACAAGCCCTATTAGGCATCTTATTATAACTGCTGAGAAATGAGAGAAGAAAATGATAAAATCCCTGATGTTCTAAACAAGCAAAAAAGAGCCTAATAAAAATGAAGTTTTACTAATGATAGATCTTTTTGAAGGTTTTAAGGAGACACAAAATGACACCTTTCAGCCCTTCTGACAGATTTGAAGCACTTAAATCTGCAGTGATTACTCATAGACCATTAAAGCGTATATTAAGCCATGATTGTTCTCAGTTTGTCACTTATTTCATATCAAACGCTGAGCAGAAACTTATGAAGCCTGACCCATTTACATGCTTAAAGTGCTTTCAAGTGAGCATTGTTCCAAAAAGCTCATAGAAGTTTAAAAGATAAAACCAGATAAAGTTGAATAATAGCGACCATGGCAACCGTGTGTTGCAAAAATGCTCAGATTAAGACTCAGCAGGGCCCCTTCCAGATAAAACCATTGAAATGCACGGCTTACCACTTTGAAGTGTTCAGCACTGCACTCCATCCCTCTGTAGGAACAGGAGAGCAGCATTTCCTTAATATCGTGGCCCGTTCGATCGTAGAATTCACGCATGTTGAAAGGTCGAGGCTTATAGTTGTCAAAGTCTGTCCTCTCCTTTAAGGTCTTCAGAACACTCTCCTCTACCAGATGTGGATCCCGGATTTCATACCTGGACAGAAAGATGATAAACTTAATTAGAAACAATGTAAAACAAGGCATTTTTAAAAACAAAATATTTTATAACAATCACTCTATAAGAATTGTTCCAGCTTTAGAAGCACTTATTGATCATACAAACTGAGTGCTTTAAGGGAAGTTAGACAATCTGAGTTTCTGTGTTACATTAAAATAATTAATTTAAGGAATTCTTTAAAACAATAGTGGTAAAAGAGAATAGTTGCGTTTTCTAAAAAGTTTTACCCATAATTTACTTATTGGAAGAATACTGCAGCTAATTTAAGAAAATAACAAGAACAAAATCCATTATCATCAAATAACATTTTTATACAAGCTTGATAAGCAGGGGCGGCTATTCACCAGGGGGCCAGAGTGTGGCCACAGAGAAAAATAATAAAATGAAAAAACAGGGCAAAAATTAATCATTTGATACATCAAGGGGGGCCAGAAAGAGGTCATAAGTTGAAATCTTGATTTTTGGCAGGAAATGACCTCAATCAGTGTAGTAACTGAGTAGTAATCAGTGTAGTTCAATTAATAATTTAGAGTGAATATGTGAACTTTCTAATCTGAACCCATCACTGGGTCCACGTGACTTGATAAAAACAAACATAAGACCAGAGAACCTTACAATAAAAGTGTCCCTGTGATTTTTCCTATTTTCTATTTAATATACTAAATAAAAATAAAAAAAACAGAGGTCATGGATTAGAGGACCAGAGTCTGGATCCAGACACACCTGCTGGCTAATCTGGACCCAACCTGATTTAAAACATTTATAAATTACTGCATGTGTCTAACTTCACTTGCACCGCTCCTCCTGTTAATACGGTAAAGCCCTCCGGAGCGTCCAGCACCAGGCTGCACGTCATACAAATTAGCCAATGAGCTGCTGTCAGTCTGGGCTGCTGCTGCTGCTACTTTTAGACACAGCAGGCAAACCTGTGGCGAGCCGGGCGATGGGAAAGAAGGAGAAGATGATGAGAAAATGAGAGCAGAGAAAGTGTAGACTGTTGGAAGAACTGCGGTGAACTAGTTAAAGAAAAGTGAAATGGCGTGCTCAAAGGTGACCCTGCACATTTAGAGGATGTTTGGCTCAACCTGCTGCTGTGAAGCAGGATTCTCCACCATGAACAGAATCAAAAATAAATATGGATCCAGGCTCAAAATGAGCACCTTGATATGTGCTTGAGAATGGCTTAGTCTCCATTCAAACCCAGGTTTAAAGCCTTGCAGGGCAGCAGAAAGCCCACTGCCAACATTATGCCATAAAAAAAGAAAGAAAAAAAAATGGTCAGTTCAGGTGTTTTAAAAAAAAAAAAGGTGAGTCAGTAAATTGTCTGTAAATCAAATTGAAAGATTGTTGTTCTCTACTTCAAAAACAATTTAGATTTTAAAATGGAAAAACTTTCTATTTTTTATACTTTTTTATTCAAAAAGCCAATGTATAAATAAGATGGATGTATTTTATTTCAGTGTTAAATGCTGTTTAAAGTAACGGATTATAAATAAAAATGTCTCCAGATCTTTACTGGTTGTTGATTTTCTTTATTCTGTTTTTTAATTAGTTATCCCTGACCTAAACTGACGTGAATTCCGCTGCTTCGCAGGAATTTGTGGCCTTTTAATGCTGGAGGAGTATGAATTCTCAACCTAGAAATAGTCGATTTCGTACATCATGGGGTCACCAACCAATGTATTTCATATGGTGCTGCCTTGTATTTTATCCCTCATGTTGAACAGCAAGTTCACACGCTTGTGTGAGAAAGATGCTATATAAATAAATCTTACTTAATCAAGTTACTTTCTTACTTACAGCCTTTTTAAGGCTGAGGGCTATTTCCTGGATACTGAGTGACAGGAAGAGCTACCAATACTGACCTATAAACTGGAGGGATCAGCTGTCACCTAAACTTTATATATAATAAACATATTTTTATTGTTTCTTCTAACTCCTTATTTTCTTTATGATGTCATTTTGAAATCCCTTAAATGCTCTGCATGATTAAAATTATGACATGCTCTATAAATGATTAAAATGAAGAGCAATGGAATAAAATAAGGTTTCTATTGTAGCCCACTGGTTAGTAGTGCCATTTTTAGAAGACCCTGTGAGCACCCCATGTGGCCCCTAAAGGCCCCTTCTTTCCGGAGGGCACCATGTTGGTGACCCCTGGCGTACACTATAGGGGGAGGGGAGGGGGGATGGTCTGCGGCTGGCAGCAGGTGTTAGCGACTCTAATTAACATGAACAGCTATTCCAGCAGCCAGGAGCCAAGGAGTGAAGCCCATGTATACCTTTACAGTTTTAATCATTTTTACTCATCTGCCTCATCAACACAATAAGTGGTCAAAAAGAATGCTTCAAACGGACCATAAATGATTTAATACCTGCGTCTGGAACATTCTCTAACCACTTTGACTGCCAATGCAAATTTTCTATAACTACCTACGCATTTAGTATGAGTTAACATTAACATCATTTACCTTCTTTTGTTCTGCTTCTGTTTATTTTTTATCCGGTACATGAGCAAAAATGATACATCTGTTTGTCTAAATACCTTGGGAACCATTTATAATAGGGCTTAGTTTGGAAAACAATATCAGTGACAGAAACAAATGAACATCAATTAACCAGAAAGGCCCCTTTATGACCCTCAGGAGCAATGACCCATCAGTAATACAAGCAGCCAAATTATGAAGAGCTAATTGTAAGCACTATGGAAGTAAATGTGTGAAATATGCAGATTGAATAACAAGGAAAATGATTTGTGTATTTTTCTCCAAAATAACTGATTGCTTTTAATTTAAGCATTGAAAGAAAAAAAAATGTAATGTGAGACACGGGCAGGAGTCTCATTAAATGGTTCCTGTTTCATTTTATTGGGATCATTTTAGACTTCTCATTTTACACTCGCACACATCAATAAGTCTTTTTTCTAAAACCAATGAATCCAAAATTAGACATAAAAACCAAAGGCAAAGTTCAAAGCATTTGGCTCCAACAATAAATCTGTTGATGGGATTGTTGAAACTGACACTTGGCTCATTTCTTATAAATATGGGGAATAGCACAAAGCGGTAAAAATTAATGGGATTTCTCAGTCCAACTGAGAGCCGTGTCTGACCCCACCCACAACAGTCTGTAACGAGTGAAAAATAAATGAATATTTACCATTTAACAACATGAATGATGCTCCTTCCCAGTTATTTTCTCCTTTCTATCTTCTCCCTTACTACGTATAATTTTAAATCTTCTTCCTCCACTCTACTTAAAGCTACAGTGTGTAATTTCCCAGTGACACACTGGAAAAAATTGAAATCTAGATAACTCCTTTTTTCTTAAAGTAAGTGCATTTGTACTTGGATTGAGGAGGTAAAAGAGACATTTTGCCAATGGAACAAGGCAGTTTACATTTAAAATGAGAAAACACAATTGCTTTGTCTTATTTCAAGTGAATATTCAATTATCTTATTTTAAGAGTAAAAATGCTCATTCCATTGGCAAACTATCTCATTTACCTACTCAAATTAAGTCGAATTACACCTAATTTTATCTTTTTTTAATTTCTAGATCATTTTTCCAGTGCATGAACCCCTCCCTCCACCGCTTCTCCACCTCCAACAAAACGGAGGCTCTCACAGTACAAAGTGCCAACATCCGCATAACCTATGCTGTCAAGTGATGACAAAATTTGTTTAGATTGATCATTTTAAAAATTGTATTTTATTAGTCTGTGCAGGATGTAGAATTTATAAGCCTAACTTGCTGCAGTCACATTCAAGTTAGTTAGCTGTAGTGTAAAAATGTCTCAATAAAAGTGAGACCCGATCCCATGTAATTATACATAGCAATTTCTAGGGAAACACAAACATAAAGATTGAGACTTTCTGTTTGTAGATGATAATAGACAAAATATGCATTCCTGTCAAGTAATCCCTGTACTTTTAAGTTTTTGTTTTCATACTCAAAACAGCTTCTAGAAGATTTTCCTGCTGCGTAAAGCTATGAGAAAAAAGAATCTACAATAAGTCAGGCTAAATACACTTATAAGGACATCCAGCGACATTTTGGCAAGTCTATGAAGGAGTAATATTGACTCAATGTGTGGTCCCCTGATTAATGGAGCACACACTTTTGACAAGTGGAATAAAACTTCAAATGTGTGGCAAATCACCATTTTACTGAAACATTGACTCTATAACTGAGCATCAGCCCCCCCCCAGATCACAGGAGCATCAAGAGAAATTTATGAAACAGTGCAGCCACCGACACTTAGTCTATAAACGTTACCTATCTAAAATGTTTTAATCCAACTCCCACAAAGAACAATATAGAACCGGTCTCAGACTGAATCTGAAGTGATGGAGCAGCTGCCCGTCACAAAGCGGAGGAACAGACGGAGGCATTGTATTCTTCCCGCTCTGCCTGCAGCACACAGATAATTTAGCAATTTACTGGAGGGGCTTAATGAACTTTAAATCATATTTGGTTCCATTGGCCAAAACATCTTTGTGTTTGAGATGTAATGGGGGGTTTGCAAGGACAGCTAGAAGACAGATCTGTTGAAAATGTTTTATGTAACTTAGATAATACTCCTACATTTGCTTCACAAACAGGTTTATTTTAGGAAGAAAAACCCCCACCTATTTTTTCCAACCTACAATGAGTTGGGACAACTGGCCCAGTTTTCCTCTCTATAAGTCACAGTGATTGTTTTAAATTTAACCAAGTCTTGTCTTAAAAAAGAAATGGAGGATATAGTAAAAGTATCAATGTCAAACTGCAAATCACTTTGGATCCCAACTAACTTTAAGAATCTTATGTTTTACCGTGTACAAAGCTGTGTCGCTTATAAGCTGCAGACTCTGAAACGGAAAAGAAAAACCGTGTGGAATGTGGTGTCATTTGAAGGAGGGTAATTTTCTTCTTCCATGTTTGTAACTGAACAGAGCTTCAGTCATGCTTCATGCTGGATGAAGTTAATATTGTTTGGAAGTGAAAACAATGGGGCTACTTTAACAGATGAATTGAATGCCATGAAGTATGTCATGTTCTGCAACATGCACAGCCAAGGTTTGATATAATGTCACTACAGCAGATTAAAATGTATATTTGTTGAGACCAGGCAGAGCAAACCAAACAAAGGATGCCAGACGGATCCATTTGTTTGGTCTGCCTGTTTTTGCTTCAACAATTACGTAAATTACTTTAAAAAACATAAAATAATGCTAATTCAACATTTGGATTAAAATAAATGAATTGATTAATAAATGTATGGATTAAAATACGATTATTCAATCTATCTCTATGTAACTTAACATAAACTTTCAGACGCTCTAGATGGAAATTAAATAAACCGAAAACAGCTTGTGTATACAAAGGTATTTTATAAAAGACAAATGATAATAATCTATTAAAAATATGATTTCTTATGTCTTAATTTCAAAAGTTTATATACATTAAGAGTTTAATTCATATAAACATTCCTTAAAAGAAAAGATGACTGGGGTACTGTATGTTGCTGCAAAAGGGGCAGGATCCTCATCAGATTTTCCCACCGTGGGACAATAGTGGTGTTTGTATTCTATTCTCTTCTATTATGTGGGAGAACAACAGGTTACACCTTCACTATAAGGGGAATGGGCCAAAACTCTAGCAAATCACAGGGAAAACCTTGAGAAAGGAAAAAATGTTTGGCAGCTTGAAGGGTCATTTTATCAAGTATCAGGGAATGTATACAAGCTTCTAAATGACAAGAAAACTATTTTTTAAATTACCATTATACATTTTTTTGACTGTTGCTAATATGTGGACGCTGCACTGGTCAGTCATGGTAAAGAGAGAAATGAGAAAAAGGTAAAGCTCTGGTTTTAAGGGCTGGTTATCATCCTGCAGCAGTGTGGCACATATTTTTGCTTTATGCCCAATACTGAAGCGTGATCTGTGCTGTTATCCTATGCTACAACGCAAGAGGGACACTCAGGAATTTGCTGTGGTTCTAAGTTGGGGCAAGCTTGTCCGGCAATCGAGGGACATGAGGGCGAAAAAGAGCGGATCCAGGTGGAAAAAGGGTCCCCACGTTCTCGTGCACCTCGCTCTTCTAGCGGGTCCAACTTCACAAGTCATTTTCCACAATGACAGTCATACAAACAAAACAAGCCGGTGAGGTACAAAACAGGAAATACGCATAAGTAGAGCAGATGTAGATTTGACCAATCAGAGGCCTCCTGTCTTCAGCACCTGTCTGCGGTCACCTAGAATTTTGGAGAGGGGCAGCAGGGTGCCTGCGGAGGGGGCGGGGGCTGATTTGCGTTCACTGCGACACACAGACGACCTGGTTTCTGAGTATAAATCAGGCTTTTCTGGTCAACCTACTTTCATACCTTAACCTATTGTCATGATGTCTGGATAAAGACTGAAAAAAAGATCCTGGATACAAGCGGCTGAAATTAGCTATCTCCAAAGGGTGGCTTCAGATGGCCCCTTGACGCCTCCCTCGGGAAGTGTCCAGGCATGTCCCACTGGGAAGAGGCCCGGGGGACAGGACAGGACACGCTGGACGGACTACATCTGTCGACTGGCCTGGGAGCCCCTCTGGCTTCCCCAAGCGGAGCGGGAGGAGGTGTCTGTGCAGAGGGAACGATGAGTACAAGTACTGTTTTATTTCTTTTTTTCTAATCTAAATTAACCTAAAATATGGAAGATTTAGTCTGGTTACATTTTTAAAGAGAGAAAGAAATAATTGTCTCAGTAGTTGTTAAACACCCTGAGCAAACAACTGGAATAAAAGAAAAAACTGAACTCTTCTAGAAGTGAGCCTCCTCAATGATCCTTCCAGTACACAGCTCTCACATGTGTAAATTATCTAAGCAGCATCATTGCAATGAAAAACTTTGAGCAAACAAAACTATTTTAGTATACAGAATAGTGCAGCATCTTAAGCTGACAGGCATTCACTGTTTTTATTTAGACTCTTGCCACATAGCAGCAATAAAGCATATAGGAATGTTCTTTTCATGCCTAATGTTTAGTTTTTGGGCCAAGTTTATCATTGAGCACTTTGTAATGATGTATTTGATAAATAAAGCATTACAGATTACTGAACAGCAAATGCTGCTCTGCAGTTTTTCAGATATATGCTGTTTATAGGTGGGTAGGCTTATTCAGAGCTTCTTTAGCCTTTTATGGCTCTGCTGGCTTTAAACCACCAGCTATTCATATACTGAACACAGCAGTTATGTATTACCTTCATCATTTGAGCAGATGTACAGCACAAGTTTAAATGTGTTTCTGTTTAAATCCAGAAATATTAATATAGTTACAGTCCTTTACAATCCTTTTTATTTTCCCTTAAATGGTTTGCCTTATCAAACATGTAGTTTCAAAGGTGTTTTATGTCATATCTCAGGAAAAAAAAGTAATAATTTTGTAATCTAATATATTATCCATCTATAACATTACATGAAATGGTAAAAAAACAACCAATCTTTGTATTTCCTATACAGGCTTATTGAGGGATGTTCTGAGATTGCAGGGATCTTCAAACATCACAAGCTGTCTGCAGTAACAAGTCAGTTCTGCTTCTGCTTGTTCTTCCATTGAATGTCAAACCGCCGATGCACCATTTCTTTTACTGCTCTGTCTAACAAAGATCTTTTTTGATGGTTCTCCTAAAGTGGCTTCTTTCTTTTCTTCAAAGATGACGGGCTTAGAATGGCTGCAAATTCAGGAAATTAAAATCCTTTTTTTATATAACCTGCAATCTAGTTTAAGAAAATGTGTCAAATATGAGCCTTTTGAGTAATTTTTCAAGGCAATGAAATTATTCTGCTCATGTAAAGCCATATGTGGTGCATTTGCCATAGTGTGAGTTTTGATGTTGACTTCTTGAGGTTGCAAACTATATCTGCTTTTACTGCATACCCCATCTAGATGTTTAGATATCACTGCTTGTGACATCTGCCCACATTCGTTTTGCTTTTTTGGCAGATATCCAGAAGATTTTTTTATTTTTTTTATGGTGTTATTAGAGACTTTTGAAGGCTAATGAGAGAGAGCTCATATCGTTCTCTATGAGCAGTGGATGCCACTGCGGGCGCCTGCTAAGCACTGTCCCAATGTGCAGTCGGCCCATTCCTCAGATAGCTGTCCCTCCCAGTCAGGGCACAAATTGTTTGCTCCTCTATGTCCAGACTACAAATGAATGGTGTTTGGGTAAAGCTGCCACAGCGCGGAACACTGTTGGCATCAAAGTGATCCATAAGGTTAAAAAAACAAAGTAATGTACAAACTAAACACAAAAAAAAAGAAAAATGTATTTTAAAAAAAGCATTCTGCAATTGTGTCATTTCAGGTCACTTTTGAAGGCCTCAAACTTGGGTGAAAACAAGACGGTTTGAATTCTGATGTTAAAAGGAAAACAAGAACAGAAAACACTTTGGGGAAAAAACTTTGTGTGTTATTTCATTACTTTTTGTCTCTTCTAAAATATAATTTCTTATTATAATGTTTTTTATAGAAGAGGTGACTATGACTACCTGCAAACACACCTGCCAACAGGGGGGCAAAAATACAGGCCCATGGTATAGGGGATGAAGGAGAACATGAATGGGGGAAGAACGCAACAGGCTACAGTATTTATCTTATTTTAAATGCTGAATATGAATAATTTCACCACTTGTTACAGAATATCACGATAAGGGGTCCATCTCAGATCATCTGAGGCTGTCAGCCAACAAGACTGCAAACAGGCATGACATCATTTAAAGCCAAAAGTCTTCATGGGCCAATCTTACAAAAAGGAGAAGATTTTTTTTTCAGAATTCAAGACCCTTTCAATCTGATCTCCTGCAAACACAGCAAAGGGAAGTTATAAACCAACTGAACAAACCAATTAAATATGGCTTACTGAAAAATATTTACTGTATACATTAAATCCTTTTGAACGAATTAAAGGGGTCATAGAATGATTCTATAGGTTATTTGGTGTTGGTCCTTAAGGTCTCTGAATAGGGTGTGTAACATTGATTGGGCTAAAAATGGCCTATTTGCTGTTCTATGAGCCCTAATGCAAGACTGGTTAAGAGCCCCAGAATAAAACGAGAGGTTTTCTTCCTTTTATGGTATGATCATGATAATTAGATGAGCTGTGCGCTGATTGGTTAGTTTACAACAAGCAAAGCTGCTGAGCAAAGATGCATCATAGCAACAAGCACTCACTCACTGAAACATGAAATTGTTGATATGGTAGGGTGAGCAGAGGTCTTCTTTTTTCTGGACATGTCCTACTTTTCATACCTAAAAAAAAGTCTGGGGGATTTCAAATTCATCCGGATTTTGGTCAACTACAGTGCAACCTCCGGCTGAGCACGGGCGGCTCATGGCTCTCTGCTGAGGTCTGGTCCAGTCCGCAGCCCAGAAGTCGACACTTCATACCCCCCCCCAACTGAATATATGTCAATGCGGGGCTTCGATTGGTTTCGCCCGTTTTATGGTGGAAGTTTAGAATTGTGAGATTTGAAGAGAAAGGAGGTGTTGATGGGGTTTGAACTTCTCTGTACGTCCATTTCACCCACTGAACTATTGTTTTTCATCTATGACAGGGTAAACTTTTTAAGTATGCACACAAAGCAGCATAACCTATCTTTAATAGTTACCTGCACAAACTAATAAAAAAGGTTGTTAAAACTGTATATCTGTAGGGCATTTAAAAAAGCTCCTAAAAACATACCATTACTCATTTAATAAAAACTCTAAACATTAACGTCCTCCTGAGATTTTCTAGCATTAACGGCACCTTCAATTCATGATCAAAGCAGCAGAACTAGAACTGAAGTGAATTGTTGAGCGAACAATTATGTTTTTCATAATTTTTCTTCATTTCTGAAACCTCTGTATTTGAATTTTGTTTCAAACTTTCGTTTGACAAATGAGTTTTGAAGCAAGCCTCTAAGTTTCTCTAACATTATTTGTCAGGTTTGCATCCTTCAGTAAGTCGAGTGCATGTTTACCCTACTAATTTTTGATCAAACGAAAAACCTATTTTAGGAATTTTATCCTTACACTAGTGCTTCTGTTCCAGCATCCATCGCAGTTCAGTCCAGAATCAGACTCCTCAAAACTGCAGTTAAAGATCTGACATTAAAGATTCTACTTTGTTATATTTTAACAGGAGTCCCCTTTTGTTTAAAATGCATTTTTACAAGCTATGATTTTTGCTCATTTAGTTTTCCTGCAGTTATGTTTGTTTCTCCAGTCTAATCAGCCGAGTTTTAACTGTCTTAATAAAAGTTATAATCAAGGAACAAAAACGTAAAAAAAAGAATCTTAGAATAAATCAGGAAACTACAAAACAAGATAATGTCTTTCATTTAGAAATATTAGAGTTTAAAACAACAAGCATCATTAAAGCTTTGATTAACCTAATCAGTGGTTCTGAAAAAGACACTGAATCAGAGAAACACAGACTCACTGAAAAAAGACGTGAAATTACAGCCTAGATCTCTCGCTACATTAAGACTACATCACTACCCTGTCACAATTTAATAAGAAGCTACAGCTTGTTGTGGTATATTACAGACTTAATTGAATTGTATCCCGAGCTCCTGTCTTATAAGCAACACAAAGCTGCCAGGAGAGCACTTAAGAAGCTCTGCTCACATCCCAGAGTCAGGAGGCTTTAGCTGAAGCGCATACAATCACAATAATACGGCAAGATTTTTAATATTGCCCTGCCACCGCTCCCTAAAGCAATCACTGCAAACTCTCTGTGTATGGGTGGGGGAGACAAAATTGGATTATGGGCCACAAGCACTTTAATTTTCTTGTGGGAACTAAAAGAAATGAAAGCTTATCTGCAAAACTTTGCCACCTCATGGGTAAGTCCAAACAGCTACAGCTCCTCTGCATGTGATGACAGTGACGCTCTACTCACAAACAAACTGAATTCATTTGTTAAAAAAAGGGAAAAGAAAAGAAATAATCTGTTTATTTAACACTTTAGTGTGAGAAACAGATTATGGGACATTATTTTTCTGTAAGTAAAGGAGTATATATACTAACATGATTGGATATTACTAATTCTGTTACTGTTCTACTTTGGACAAGGTCATATGGATGCAAACGAGGGCCACTGTCAACTGAAGCCAAAACAAGTCTCTGTAATATTAATGAGCAATTACACAAACCAACGATCCAAACCGCAGTAAAAACATGCAACCCATTTTCATGCAGAGTCCTGTTTGGTGTCATTACTGTTTGCTTTTGATGTCTGCCCTTCCTCCTGCCCACATCTCCCTCAAATACAAAACACTGCTAATGTACCAATATTTGAAAAAGCATGAAGCTTTTTTTCTTGCTTCTTCTTCCAACTCCCCCTTTTTTTTTAAACTTGTATCTTCAAATCAACATAAAGACCCATATTAATGCTGAAATAGATAGAAAATAAAGAAAGCTATCAAAAATGTATACATTGTGGCTTTGCAGTCTTACCTCATGTGAATCGGGGAAATGTCTGCAAGCTCAGGAAACAAACCAGGTTCCAGCGTAAGCAGAAGACCTGCTTCTGTGACTTTCATGAGCTGATCGAGCATTTCTCGGTGCAACGCATCTTACTGGCAAAACCTACTCCAAAATGACCTTTTTCTTAATTATCTCATAATTGCCTTTGCAACATAATCAAAATAAAAGTGAGCAATTTACTTGCAATGTTCTGCACTGTCAGGTGTGACTTCAACCTGCAAATAAGCCATGGAAAACAGATTGATTTTTTTACCCCCCATCTCTGAGTACAGACATCGCAAGAGTGGAGTAGGTGTAATTTGCAGTGGCTCAGCTATAAGATTTATGTTGTGTACGACGGTGTGACAACAGTGGGACCTGCCAGATGGAGACACTGATGAACACAGACCCACCACTATATAATACCTGACCTGTTGTTTTCTATTCCAGTCTCCAACCTGTTCAGTGATAATGACAACTGAAACACTAAGCTCTTCAGATGGTAATAATTTACTTCTATTCTTCAGAACAAATCCTGCATCTTAATTTTCTCCTAGCATTTATTAGAATTATTATGGATTTACTGTCTATTTATATAGAGGATTTAAACTTGATTTGTTCTGTTTGTTTTTTTTGCTTTGATTAAAAAATGTACAAAGGTACACACTGACATCAGAAGATATAGTGGTAATTTATTAAGCCTGACACCAGTTTTAGGCAGAGGCGAGGGTTGGCAAACAAATGCTTTGACCCCTCAAATGAAATCTGCCAGAAACCTTCCCATTTGTCTGCGCTCTCTGCTTTGCTTTGTTCAGAGCTCTCTGGAGTCGGCAGAGAGTCCCAGCACATTCCTAATGGTACTGAAGGGGAAATGGAGCTGCTGCCACAGTCCCAGGCAGGTAATGTCAGATTTATAGAGTCTTTGATGATGCTTGGTGAAAAATTAACTACAGTGCTTAACATTATAATGCTGCTGTGAACACGGCGTGGCCTCTGGACTGATGTTTATTTAGAAAAATAGTCTGGGAGGGATGCATTTCAATGCTGATAAATACCTGCTGAAAAACCCTTGATTTTTCCTCCAAAGAGCTTCCAAGCATAACTGCATAATGTATAGCCTAAATGTTTTGCACTCATAAAAAGCAGAATTTTAAAGCCTGGTCCAGCTGTTCGCTGATGTTCATCAAATTTAACAGGGAGAGAGAGAGAGCGAGGTAGGGAGGGAGAGAGACCATTGTGGTGATGCAAAGACAAGAAAAGGATGATTGTGATTAGAAAGATTTTGCAGGAGAATGTCAAATTACTTGCATAATAATGAGCTGAAAATATAAAACAAACATCATAGAATTATGTATAATTGCAGCGTCCTGCCCAAAAAATAAAATAAAAACTGTTCTGAATAGAAAAAAAAGTTATTTTTATGTAAGCATTTATGTTTCAACAGCTAAGGAGGCATTTATGAATTTATTAAAATTACAAATTTATGTAAAATAACTAAATGGTGCTTTAGGATTTAAAACAGAAAAAAAGCAAGTATAAGAGGCTATAAAACATGTTAGTTTGTTCAATTTTATCAGCATAACAGACCCATTGTTTAAGGTGCTATCTCTTGAAAATTAGAATTTTTCATGTTAAGATTTTTGGTTTGGAGTTTAGCTAAAACCTTCCAGACAATCTGGAGTGTGAAAGTGTCTTGGTTTGTTTTTCTCATGGGCTTTTTCTTCAAACCAGTGGAAAAAAGGGCGGAATCTCTACAAAGCACGATTTTGGTCCTCCTCCTTTATTGATATCATTCATTAACCCCCCCTAGCTTCCATTGCACCCTTCTATTCAATTGTCTATTGCAGGGGTGAACAATTAAAAATCCGAATAAATTAAAAGTCAGAATAAAGAAAATCAACAACCAGTAAACGTCCGGGGACATTTTGTATTATAATCTGTTACTTTCAACAGCATTTAACACTGAAATTTAAATAGGTTTTTATGCATCTATGTTATACATAGAATTTTTACATTAAAAAATATTAAAAAAAAAAATAGAATTTTTTTTTACATTTTAAATTCTTAAGTGTTTTTTTAAGTAGAAAACAAAAATCGTTCAGTTTGCTATATACCATAGACAATTTCCTGATTCACATATTTTATAAAACACTTGAACTGTCTGTTTATTATTTTTATTTTTTTTTCTGTCTTAATGTTGGCAGTGGGCTTTATGCTGCCCTGCAAGGCTTTAAACCTGGGTTTGAATGGAGACTAAGCCATTCTAAAGCACATATCAAGGAGCTCATTTTGAGCCTGGATCCATATTTATTTTTTGTTAATGTTCATGGTGGAGAATCCTGCTTCACAACAGCAGGTTGAGCCAAACATATTAAAAATGTACAGGGTTATCTTTGAGCACGCCATTTCACTTTTCTGTCACCAGTTCACCACAGTTCTTCCAGCAGTCCACACTTTCTCTGCTCTCTTTTTCTCATCATCTTCTCCTTCTTTCCCATCGCCCGGCTTGCCACAGGTTTGCCTGCTGAGTCTAAAAGTAGCAGCAGCAGCAACCCAGACTGACAGCAGCTCATTGGCTAATTTGGATCATGTGCAGCCTGGTGCTGGAAGCTCTGGAGGGCTTTACCGTATTAACAGGAGGAGCGGCGCAAGTGAAATTAGACACTATCGTTGGACAACATGCGATAATTTATAAATGTTTTGCATCGGGTCGGGTCCGGATCAGCCAGCAGGTTGGTCCGGATCTGGACCGTGGTCCTCTAATCCGTGACCTCTGGTCTATTATAATGATCAGGGACCTACAGACAATCTTAAAGTGTTTTTGCCTGTGTGACATTTTAAACTACTTGTGATAAATCTACATGGTGGAGGCAGCATCATGCTCTTAAGATGCTTTTCCTTGGCATGAAAAAAGTGAACTGCGGATAAAGCTGTTAATGACTGCTAAAGATTGTGGTTAAGGTTTACTGTTCAGTAAATAGATAATACAGCCTAAATGAATCCATGGCAATCAAGTACTTTAGAGAATATTTATGTGTTAGAAAGACCCCGTCAATTCTGGCCTCAGAGGAAAAACGGCCTTTCTTATCTGCAAACATGGAAATCTGATCTAGAAACAGATTTTTTTCTGAGAATGAATGAAATACCTCATGCCTGTTAGTGCAAACAAAAACTATTAAGACAGGCTTACGGTTGAGCCAAAACACAAATGCTTATTTGGAACCTATAAAAAGTACAATTTTAATTTAAACATTTTCGTTGTTTGTGTTAAATGCGATACAGACAAAAGGCTACAGACTTTTAAAGAAAAGACGTTATTTTCTCGTGTGATTGAACATGATGTACCAAAGCAATCTCTGCGTACTTAATGTTTTTCATGATAGGTTGAAAGATTCTGTAAGAAGGATGCTTGTTGGGTTGTTTTTTTTTTTAAAGGCTAAGCTAAATAGCTAGAGGAAATTGAAGATACGTGTTTATTCCTTTTTTGCAAAAAGCTGTAATGTGTCAATTTCATTTTCTTTAAAGTTATAAAGTGTACTTGGGGTTCCAGGGAAGATGGATGACTAATAATGTGTATTTGTTATGGGCTTTTTTTTTATGTCCATAAAAGAAAATTTTAAAACAACTGTGTAAAAAAGACTGATTCAGTCAAAGTTCAATCATAAATACAATAGAGAGTCTTTGGCAAACCTTTAAAATTCCCTTTATACATGACATGTATCTGTTCTGTTTAGCTTTGACTAATATGGAAATCAAGGTATTCACATAAACTAAATATTTGTCCAGGTTTGGTTCAGTAAGTATTGTAACAGTTATTCAGTCATGTAAAAAAAACGAACAAGATCATTTGAGTTTTTTCTTCTTTTTTATGCTTCTTTTAAATTTCTTAGTAATGGTCTTTCAAACACAATCATGTTTCTTGTCCTCAAGTCACTTTGAGACTAATTTGTCAATATGCTCAAATTACAATATGCCATTTTGAAGACTAATTTATCTCCAAGCTTTTATTTCTTGGCGGACGGATTGATTATTTTAATATCTCTACCAAATGTTCCTTCCTGATGATGCACTAGCTTGTGACGTGACAATTCCTGTCACCAGCAAAACAGCAACATGATGCTGTGAGTGGAGACGACGCTTCACTTCAGAATTTTGATAGTGTTCCTATGCAGACAGGCGTCCTGTTTTCTCCAAGAGGGCTTCATTATACCTAAACGATTAGATATTAACCTCATTAGACACCAGGACATGTCTGAAAGCAGCTAGTGTCTCTGTCCTTGACTGCATTTGCAAACTATAATCTCATTTTTTGTGTGCAAAAAATTCTCCTCGTCATGCGCTCGATGATTACTTTACATTTTTTTATGCTACATAAGGAGCAATGATTGACAATGAAAGATATTGGGGATTTTTTTTTATTATTATTACTAAATGTATGTAAATGTCTGGTTTCAGCTCTAGGTAAATGGAAAATGGTGTAAAGCTGAAAATACTTACTTAAAAAATGCCATAAAAAGAAGAACGATTGCTGTCAATGTGAAGATTAGGAGCTAAAAAAGCCTCTTCATCTCAATTTTGATCAGAAATGATTGTGCTCTGCCTCACACCACTGGTTGCTGATCAGAGAAAGTTGGGGAGATGCTTCCTGGCTGACTTTGGCATGCACAAATCAAGTGAAATACCAGTTTTTGGCACAATTTCAATGAAGGAATATGATGAAAACATATTTAAAAACTAAATTACATGATTTAAGCCCTTTAAGTTCAGTCATATTGTTTGTTTAATTTTTTTGTTTTGGTTCAATTGCGTTTGGATTGCTGGTTTTCCACTGCATTAATCTGTCCTGTGCAGATGCCCTTATCCCTATTAATATTATTCTACTGTTATTTATCACAGTACAAATATGTTCACATGCACACAGAATCTCTTTCTATGTACATTATACTAACGTCTTATTTGTGCTAAAAATTAACCCAGAAAAGTTTGCATACGAGTTTGCATATGAATTTCAAATTGTTTAATATAGATGCAAAAACTGTCAGTTTCAGGTTTGATAGATTACTATGTGGGTGGAAAATTTGTGAGTGTTTTCAGACATGTAAACCTACTGAAGCTAAAGCCCTCAGCAGTAATTAAGCAAAAACTGCACAAGTAAAGATGTTGCATTTTAATATTATTTTTAGAATAGACGTTTTCAAATCTCCTTTGGTGGTGTTATTTTAGCTTCATCTAGGTTAAACTCTGTAAAATTCTCCTAAGGAGCTTTTACAATCTGATTAGGATTTGGTTAATTAAAAAAAGATTAGATAAGCAATTGTTGCAGCTCAAGATTTTATAATTTTACTGGTATGGACAAGACAGAAATGAAAAGCACTTTTTAAATATATCTTTAGGGTCCTGGTAAGCATGACATGTAGATTAAAAAAATAATCATCCATTTTCTTCCACTTGTTCTTCAGGGTCACGGAAAGCTGGTAGCAATCTCCACCAATTTAGAGTTAGCAATCAACCTAACAGTCAAGATTGTGGACTGTCGGGGAAAGGCGAGCACCCAGGGGGAACCCACACATACAAAGAAAAAACATGCAAACTGCATGCAGAAAAAGCCTAGGCTTAAGATCAAACTCCTCCCGTTGTAAGGAGACAGTGCTACAAACAGCATTAAACATAACAACCCTATATGTGAGTGACACATATAGGTCCACAGGACTTAATAACTTTAGACCCTTCGCCCTGACATCTGTGGTTATGAAGTCTTTTGGGCGCCTTGTGCTTTCACACCTGGAAGAGATCACTGACCCCCTTCTGGACCCCCTATAATTTGCCCACAGAGCCAACAGGTCTGCAGAGGACGCTGTCAACTTGGCCCTCCACTACATCCTCCAG